CTGCAATGCTCCCTCCTCCTGCCGTCCCTGCAATGCCCCCTCCTCCTGCCACCCCTGCAATGCCCCCTCCTCCTGCTCACCTCTCTGTGCAGCCTGCCCCGCATGTCCAGGTCTGCCCCCGCAGGAGCGCTCGCAGGAGCCACCCCTCCGAGGAGTAGCTCCTCCTCCTCACCGTCCCAGTTGAAGGTCTCCTCCTCCCCCTTGTAAATAAAAACAGACATTTTTCAGTTGAGAACAAAACTGTGTTGGTTACTGTGTTACTCGAGGTAACTGTAATAAATGATTTGAGATGCCAATTAGCCAACTACATTTAAGAGGATTACAAAATGCGGACACCAAATTCTGTATCTATCACCAGTCATCCCTTTAAGTGGTCATTGGTTTGTGGCGCATAAATAAATACTTGACACGTTTAAGTAAAAGACAGGAGTGGATTTACCACCGAACTGAAGTAAAAGAAGGTGTCTGCAATGGGAAGAAGGGTGATATATGCTCTGAAGTAGGGTACAGTCCAGTCCTGCTTAGGTTTAGCAGCCGCCATGATCCTTCGAATCTGATTGGGCATCCAACAGATCGCCAGAGTGGCAACAATCAGTCCTGTGAGCAAAGGGAGAGAGAGAGAGGGGGGAGGAAAAAAAACATATGAAACAAATCATAAAATATTTAGTCTTTCAGTTCTGCACTTACTGTGTAGGAAAGGGTACCAATTTCTCAGTGTTTTGCTTGACAGCTTTTCCTGCCAGTAGCAAATATTTTAACGGGTTCAAGGTCATTGCAGTTTATGATTGGATAAAGGTTGTATGAGATTGTATTTATTTCTACCTGTTGGCACTTATTAACTTTCAGGTGTTCTCTCATTGATATTTGTATCTTTGGAAAGAATGGGGCTGTCAGTCCCTGCCAGAGGTCCTACAGCACGGAGCAGGAGACAAACGGCTGTCCGGCCAGACCCCTTTAAGCACGTGTCTGAACGGAGCTCCACCCCCACCTCCAGAAAGGTCTGGTGGCCTTTTGCCATCTTCAAAATGGTTCCGGGCTTCTGCTTTTGCGCAAAAGCGCACCGTCAATCTAGACGCGCTTTTCCGCAAAAGTGCATCGTTATAACTATAACTCCGGGACCAATCTAGACGCTCTTTTGCGGAAATACTTTTAAAGGAAAACCTTTTCTGTTAAAAGTATTTCCAGAAAATCATGCCAGTCTAGACGTAGCCGTGGAGATTGGGAGAAGTCCCAGATGATTGGAAAAAGGCAAATGTAGTTCCCATCTTTAAAAAAGGGAAGTCGGACAATCCAGTCAGCTTCACCTCAGACCCTGGAAAAAATCATGGAGGGAATCCTCAAGGAATCCATTTTGCAGCACTTGGAAGAAGGGGAAAGTGATCAGGAATAGTCAACATGGATTCACGAAGGGCAAGTCATGCCTGACCAACCTGATTAGCTTCTATGATGCAGTAACTGGCTCTGTGGATATGGGGAAGTCAGTGGATGTGATGCACCTTTACTTTAGTAAAGCTTTTGATACGTTCTCCCACAATATTCTTGCCTATAAGTTAAGGAAGTATGGATTGGATAAATGGACTGTAAGGTGACTGGAAAGCTGGCTAGATTGTGATGCTCAAGTGGTAGTGATCAATGACTCAATGTGTGGTTGGTGGTTGGTTTCAAGCAGAGTGCCCGAAGGATCTGACCTAGGATGGGTTTTGTTCAACATATTTATTAATGACCTGGCTGAGGGGATGGACTGCACCCTCAGCAAGTTTGGGGATGACACTACTCCCTCCATCACGACGACACCGACGGTGGATCTTCCCACCCCGAATTGCTGTGCCACCGATCGGTAGCTGTCTGGAGTGGCCAGCTTCCATAGCATGATGGTGACCCTTTTGGCGACCCTTTTGTTCACGGGGATGGGTGCACGCAGCTGGGTGGTGGCTCTCTGTAGCGCGGGGGTGAGGCAGGCGCACAGCTCCAGGAACGTCTGCTTTCGCATGTGGAAATTCCAGATCCATTGCTGGTTGTCCCATTGCCCAAGGACCAGCTGGTTCTACCAGTCGGTACTGGTGTCCAATCTCCAGAGTGGCCTCGCCACGGTGAGGAAGTCGAAGGCAATCTGTACCTCCTGGTCCTGGGACACAAGGGCACCAGCCTGGAGCACCAGCTGCA